CTCTTCCTGTTCCTCTTTGCCTCTCCTTCTTTATTTCTGTCTCTCACACTTTTCTCCTTCCTTCCTTCCTTCCTTCCTTCCTTCCTTCCTTCCTTCCTTCCTTCCTTCCTTCCTTTTGTCTTTCTTCTCTTTGCCTGCCCCTCTTTCTCTCTATCTCTTTGTCTCTTTCTTGCACTTCCTTCCTTCCTTCCATCTTCCCCCGACTCTCCCTGCCATCCATCCATCCACCCATCGCCCAAATAGCCATTGAAAGTGGCGTTAGCCCTTTGGCACTCACGGCAGCTCCCAGGAGAAAGACTTAATGCTGGATCTGCATGATCACACCGTCCAGTGAGGCCTCTTTCCCGGGTTGAGTGCCTGGGCCACCCTAAATCCAGGTCAGGGAGCCCTTGGAGGGATTTTCACCTGCAGGCAGGAGCCCGTATTAGATTGCAGGTGGAAGAGGGTTTTCGTAGCTCCTGGGCTGAACTGGGGGGTGCTTCCTGCTCTCTGAGCTGGGTGCTTCCCTGGCAGACTTTGCAGGACCCAAGTAGGGAACATCGTCAATGCTAGAAGGGAGGGAGGGAGGTTTGCAAGCGGGGAGCAGGGGGAGGACTGTCCTTGAAGGGAGTGGGGTTTTCACTCTTGGAACTGACAGCGTTCCCTAGACGGGTCCTGAAACGTCTGCAAGGAAAACGCCAGCTGAGAGAGCCCCGGGGGCCAAGGGCCGAGTTAGGCCTGTTGGCGCAGCGCCCGGCCTGCAGGGTTGGAGAAGGCGAGGGGTTAGGGATCCGGGGGGGGCAGCTGGCAGGAAGAGGCATCGCCCGCCTGCGGGGTTCACGGGCCGCCAGCCTGGTGCCTCCAAGATTCAGCGCCCTGCCCGGGCCAAAGGGAGCATCTATCCCGAATCGGCTGCGGGAAAGCAGGAGGCCAGATCTCCCTGGCTGGGAGCCGCATCTTCTGGGCCACCGTGGGAAGCAGAGCAGTGGATGACGGCGGGGCCTGGCTCGCGTGCAGCCAGCCTCTGTTTTGGCTCCCGAGACCTGGAGAACACAGGTAGTCCCCGGCTTACGACCGCGGTGGAGCCCAGAAACGGATGTTGCTGAGCGAAACGTTTTGTTTTGCCCCCTTCGGCGTTTCTGGCCACAGTTGTTGCGTGGATCAACGGCCGTTAAGTTAGTGGCATGGTTGTTAAGTGAATCTGGCCTCCCCATTCGACCCTGCTTGCCCGAAGGTCACCCAAGGGGACCCTGTGACCTCAGGACACAGCAGTACGTATGAACCCAGCTGCTAAAAGTGCTGCACAGTGTGAAAAACAGCCCTCGGTCCCTTTTTCAGCGCCGTTGCAACTTTGTGCGGTCACTAAGTGAAGCGTTGTAAGTCGAGGACCGCCAGTCCAACCCGAGAGGCCCAGGGCCCACCCAAGTGCCTCCGAGGCTCAGCCCGTCCTCTCCTCCTTAACCCAGAGGCAGAAAACACCAGGAGGCTCA